AACGGGAGAGGCCACAACAGTGAGAGGCCCGCGTACCACAAAAAAAAAAAAAAAAAAAAAAAAAAAAAAAAGAGGGATTATCTTCCTTAAAACCCTATGTTACACAGAGAGTGAAAGGGAAGTGCTCCCCTGAATACATCTATATTCTCAAAGTTATTCTCCTCTAAACTCCCAGCATGCCAATTTAACATTACTACTGTATTCACAACCAGGTATTTAATGGCTTGCAATTTAATTCTTGTCAGAATCCTCAGGGCAAGTAATAGACTTTATCCTTAAATCCCCAAGCCAAGAAGAGCTTGGCCTTTCTATATATACAGGTTTAATAAATGAATGAATGCTCTTTGGAAATGAAGTCATTTTTTAATAAAAAAATTTTCTATCTCCAAAAGTGGGTATGATATATTGGGGGTGGGGGTGGGGGTGGGGGTGGGTTGGAGGGAATCCTCTGTGTCTTCTAGGCTTTTTTTTCTTTGAACAAACTAAAAACCAGATGTTGTTTTTCTTATTACAAGGTCACTCCACTCACAGGGCTCTAAGGCTAAGAGAATGTGACACGATGGGAACATAAAGGTATTCACACCAGTCTGAAAGTAACCGAGAAAGTTTCACAAAGTTTCAAACAAGTTTCACACATGTTTGAGTTTGACCATGAAAGCAAAGTAGGATTTTTCTCATTCACTCTTTTTTCTCTAGTAATAATAAAAGAGATGGAAAAGACAGGCATTGACCAAATCATGAAGTTTATATAGCTTTTATATAAGGAATCTGAAATTACCCTAAAAGTATTGGGTTGGCCAAAAAGTTTGTTCAATTCTAACTAAAAATAAAGGACAAATTCTTCATTCTCACCAAGAATTTTATTGAACAGCGTATTCACTAACCAAACTAACTTTTGGGCCAACCCAATAATAGTGATCTAGTGAAAGAGAGGAACACAATCAAATAAAAGAGATTTAAGTTATTGAGAGATCATTCAGAAAATGAGGGGAATACGTTAGGCAGAATCAAGAAGGCTTAGGAAGCAAATGGATAAAGTCTTTATCAAACATATAATTAGACCTCTAGGTTTTTGGCTTCCAGCAATGGTGGTGCTATTCCCTGGACAAAGAATATTAAAAGAATCAGATTTCAACTGGAAAATTCATTGTAAAATGGAATTTGTTACACTTGAAGCAAATAAATTAAACTAGTAGGTTTTTAGATTCAAAGTTATTTGGTTGCTAAGTGATAGCATGAACAATTGCTAGGATTTTGATCAATTATGTACTGGAAATTGTTATATCATGGTGTTATACTGGTCCACCTTATCTCTATTCCCAGTCTATAAGTCCCTTACGGGCAAGCGCAAAATTTTCTACTTATTTTATCTTCCTTCTCAGCACTTCACACAATGCTGCTCTCAGAGTGGTTCTCTGTAATTCTAAATTCTGTGAAGTTAAGAACCTATGAAGTTAAGAGATCATTCTAGTCACCATCATTCTCAACTTTCTCTGTAACTAAAAGAAATTTAAACTTTAAGACGATGTTTTACTAAGCAGTTTATCAAAGCTAATCAAAATCTTTAGAATTTAAATAATATGCTAACCTGGAGAGCATGTCTCATTTTGTGATACAACTTCAGACTCATCCTTTTCACCCGAAATATCCTCTTCATCAGAGAGGACCAAAAAGGCTTCTTTTGGCAAACTCTCACTACTTTCTTGTTTAGATGGTGAACCAAAAGAACCTTCCATCTTTTCTTCCAAATCTGGATTTGTCTCATCAATTGGAAGGAGAGAAGCTTTAGAAAAGCAAGTAAGTTCATCTTCAGCAGGTGCAAGCTTTTCCAAAATAGGGATGATTTCATCTGTCTCCATAGAATCTGTATTTTCTAAGACATTCTCATTTTTGTCATCTTTTATAACATTTTCACTAATGGTTTCTGCAAGGTCTGCAGAATTTTCTTCTTCAGTCGTTTCACTTTGGTCAATCTCAATACTGCTAGATATAGCTTCCTCTCCAAGAGCAGATCCTCTGATAGCATCTTCTTCTACCTTCTTTTCAGGAGACACATCTGAACAAATAATTGTATCATCTGTTTCTAGAGCTTCTGCATCAACATCAACATTACTATCAGCTTTATTTTTCTCATCAAATGGGAAAATTGGATCTAACTTTTCAGCACCTCCATTTTTTTCAAGAAAATCATCACCTTTATTGCTACTAGGCTCTGTACTATCAGTTTCAGGAACTGGTTCACAAACTGGTACAGAACTTGGTTCAAAGGTGGGATCAAAGACTGACTCAGAAGTTGGTTCATCAGAAATTGGTTCATCAGAGGCTGGCTCACCAGAGGCCGAATCACCAGAAGCTGGATCACCAGAAGCCAGATCACCAGAGCCTGGATCATCAGAGGCCAGAGATTCAAAAGCATGATCACCAGAGGCTGGATCATCAGATGCTGAATCACTGGAGACCAGTTCAGTGGAGACCGATTCACCAGGGACCGGTTCACCAGGGACTGGTTCATTGGAGACCAGTTCATCAGAGACTGGCTCACTGGAGACTGGTTCACTGGAGACCAGTTCACCAGAGGCAAGATCACCAGAGACAGGATCAACAGAAGCAGGATCAACAGAGGTGGGATCACCAGAGGTGGGATCACCAGAGGTTACTGCTTCAGAGGCCAAGTCTCCAGAGGCAGAATCTCCAGATACCAGACCTCTAGCAGCCAGCGCACCAGAGGCTGTATCAGCAGAAGATGGGTCAGCGCACCAGGGGCTGTATCAGCAGAGGATAGTTCAGCAGTCAGTTTAGAGGCTAGTTCAGGAGTTATATTATTAGGAGACACAGGTTCACACTTTAAATCATCATCCTGCTTGTTTTTTACATTAACATTTAAGGTAGAGGGTGTTTCTTTCCATTCTGATTTACTTTTTTCAGAGTCAAAACAAAGCTCTTCAATGCCATTCACCTCTTCCTTGTCATTAATATAATCCATATTTTCCAAAGGTGAGGTTGGGTCCAAGTCTCCATTTTCATGGTTGCCATTTAACAGCTTGACATCAGTTTTCAACAGTTCTTCTTTGACCTTGTACACTGCTTCAAGTTGTTGACGATCACTCACTCGCATTGTTTTTCGAGCCTTAAAGACTTTTTTCTGAGGTTCTTCTATACTATCCATTTTGAATCTTTAAAAAGAGAAAGAGAAAGACAGAGTTTAACAATTGAAACCAAAGCCACCTAATTACAGACTTACTGCAAACCAAAAGCAAGCAGCCCTTTATGTAATTTTGAAATAATTACATATAGAAAGCATAATGATCCTTGCTGTGTGTTAATTTTCATATTTATTGAATTTATATAATACAAAATTGATAACAGATACAGTTCATAGGAGATCAATTACTAGGCAGTATTAGGAAAAAAGTGACTAATTTCTAGTTTTCATTCTCAGTAAGCTAATGGATTCACAGAGTCCGGAGGAGATAGCATTAAAAAAAATACATGAAGTAAAAAAGCAGCTGTCAAAGGAAAAATAAAAGTATAAGAGAATGAAAGCAGTAGGGGAATGGGAGAGAGGTATAGAGATAAGGGGAAAAAAAGAAGGGAGAATTAAGGAACATAAGGTAAGATTACATTTGCAACCAGGAATATCTAAATTAACAACTGTAAACACATTAATAAGAGGTTACTATCAAGAAAGTGAAAAGACACAACAGAAGGAAATACAGTCGACCCTTGAACAGAGGTTTGAACTTCATGCGTCCTCTTAAACTTGGAATTTTTTCAATAAATACATACTACAGTACTACCTGAACCACAGTTGGTTTAATCTGTGGATGTGAAGGGACAACTATAAAGTTATACGAGGATTTTCAACTGTGCGGAAGGTCGGCCCCCCTTAACCCCCACATTTTTCAAGGGTCAACTGTATTTACAAATCATACATTTGCAAATAATGTATCTGATAAGAGACTTGCATCTAGAAAATATAGAATATAAAATATTGTTGCAGTTGAAAAAAAAAACAATTTAAAAATGGGCAAAGGACTTGAACAGACATTTCTCTAAAAGATACACAAATAGCCAATAAGCAAGAAACATGAAAAGATGCTCAACATCATTTAGTCACCAGAGAAATGTAAATCAAAACCAAAATGAGATAACAGCTCACACACACCAGGATGGCTATATCAAAGAAAATAATGAATGTTGGCAAGAATGTGGGCAAATTGAAACTCTCCTGCAATGGCAATGGGATTGTAAAATCGTGCAACTGCTTTGGGAAAACAGTCTGGCAGTTCCTCAACACGCTAAACATTAATCATTAATTTTTAATCTTTCCCTTTTTTGTAAGTGTATGCATGTAAAGCTATAAATTTCCCTCTAAGCGCTGTTTTAGCTGCATCTTACATTTTAATGTGTCATATTTTTCATTGTTGTTCTATTAAAATATTTTCTAATTTCCATTGTGATTTCTTCTTTCATCTGTGAGTTACTTAAAAGTGTGTTTCTTTAAAAGGTAATACACTATGACTATGTGAAGCTCATTAAAAAAATACAAGGTCAATTTCATATTAAAAAATCAAGCAATGTAGATTTACAAGTGAGTCACGAAGCATTATAGCTTTATTATAGGCCCAACCAAGATATCCACTTGATAAAAATACATTAGAGCCCTAAGCCCTAATTCCTCAAATTATGACCTTATTTGAATAGGGTCTTTGCAGAGATAATCAAGTTAAAATAAGGTCTTTAGGGTGGGCCCTAATTCTGTATGATCAGTGGCCTTATAAAAAAGGGAAAATCTGGACACACACACACACACACACACACACACACACACACACACATACACACACGGGAGAACACTGTGTGAAAAATGGAGTTAGTCAGCCACAAGCCACAGCTGGGAGAGAGGTGTGGAACAGACCCTTCCTTAGCTTCCTCAGTAGGGGCATGGCCCTGTCAACACCTTGATTTCAGACTTCTAACTTCCAGAAATGTAAGATAATACATTTCTGTTATTTAAGAAAAAAAAATTTTTTCAAGCAGTGTGATTTACCACAAAAACAGAATAGACGATGAAAATAAACAACAGACCATCTCAACAGACACAGAATATTCATTCATTTGATAAAATTCAACACTGACTCATAAACTCTCAGAAATCTAACAGAAGGAAACAACTCAAATCTAATAAAGATTATCTACAAAGAAAACTGCAGATATCATACTTAATGGTAAAATAAGATCAGAACTAAGATAAGGATATTCTCTATCATTGTTTCTGTGTTAACATCTGGTCAGTGCAGTAAGGCAAACAAAAGACTTGGTCCTAGAGAGCGACAATGTTGCCAGTCTATAGTGGAATAAAACAAACGTCCTTTAAGGACTAAGATATACAGAATCAAGAATATTAATTTTACATTGGATATTCACTTAACATCACCATTACCAGTAAGAATGATGTTAGGATATACTTGCTTTGGTTGGAGAAGGGAAAAAAGCAGCCTCGGAAGTCTGGGAACTTATCTAAGGCTCAAAGCTCAGTGTTGTTATAAACTGATTTGATGCTTATAGCTAAATCATGTTGGACAGAAAACGACTTCACCATTCAAACTAGACAAGGTCACTGTGCAACCCAGCATCCCGTAAAATACTAAGCATCTCCCTCTCTGACTAAGCGATAGCTACACTTTTTTATCAATTGCAGCTTTATCCTCGCTGTAGTTTGTCCTCCCTGTAGATAACAGTTGCTGAGATACACAAGCATAGAATTGCCCCTGCTTTCTGATAGCACCTAATACAGAGTAAGGCTCTACTGCCTCAACCACCCCGCAAAACCCAACTATACTATAACTGAATCTTTTACCAGGTTTTTTTCTAACATCCTCCTACTGATATGCCTCGCTGTTTCCCCATGGTGAACATTCTCTCACTGCAACAAATAATAAACCCAAGTTGTTCAATTACAGGTGTGTTCTTGGTGTTCCACTGTTCCTCTAGCTGAAAGGCATAAAACTATGGCCCAGCCTATTTGCTGGAGGCCAATAAAGCCCGAGAACCAACCATTTTGTCACAGTACTTCTAGACTGTGGTATAAAATCTGCATTCATTCTCTTACTTTAAGCCAATTACTTATATTTCTTGGTCTTTCTAGGTTTTTAATTTAAATTATGGAGCTGAGTGAAACAATTTACAGAAATTACCTTAAAATTGAGAAGAAAGGTCAATGCAAAATTATCATAGGCACTATTTTAAGGGTTATTAACTGCAGCTAAAATTTAAACTTCAAAATTTTTCCCATCTACCATCCGTTCGAAACTCACACTAACTGAAAAATTTTCTGCAAAGATACAATGCAAATTTTTTAGTCACTTTTCCTTGCTGACTCCAAACATACAAAAGGATTAAATTTACAGTACAAGGAGTATGGTTACCCTTTAAATATTTTCAAGTACTGAACTGCAATTCTTTTGGACTTTGACCTCATAACAGCCACATTTCTCAACTATTATGCATAAGTGGCAGTTATTGCCAGTTGCATTAAAAGCAAACACTCCTCTTTTTAAAAAAAAGTATATTTTCATAATTTTTAGTAATCCCATTGAGAACGTGAACTCTGCAAACAGGAACATGGATTTGAATTCTAGCTCTCCGATATACTATGTGACAGACGGCAAGTTACCTAGCATTTCAATGTTTAGTTTCAGCCACCTTAGAAAGGCAATATCAGTACCTGACACAGAGGTTGTAATAATGATTAAATGAGATTCTTCTATACATTAAGCACCTAGAAGGTAGTAAGCACTCAATAAATGTTATTATCATAATTGTCTATGTATATTCAGAATGGCTTTAGGCATAAACTAGAGAATCTGAAACAAACTTCTCTTAAATACTTCTGGGATTTTGTATATGAATTAGAAAATCCAACACACAAACATCACGTTCAATGTTAATAGCCACCACCAAGTAACATTTAATAAAAATAAATGTTATCGAAGCAAGCTGGTTTTATCAACAAAACTGCCATTCAATTCAGTACACTAAAGGACTACCTATACAAAGAATTACAGAATAACTACCACCTATACCCACAAGGGTGCACACTACAGCCATTTACAAGATTTTTTATGGGTTCTAAGTATAATGAATAACAGACAAAGCAATAAGGAAGGAGCATGAACAACCGTAGCGTGAACAACCAGTTCAAACTAGTTCAGCCATATCTATGCAAACCAATCAGCAGTTAAGTTTTTAAAAATCTATTTTGCATGAGCAATGTATATTTAAGAAAGACACACATTAGAGAAGGGTGTGTTTACCTGAAAACATGTCTCCATGACTGTACTACCGGAACAAAACATTTCTAAAGATCATTTTAAATACTATCATCTGGAACCGAGACGCCATTCACAAAACTATTTGACAAAAGAAATACCACTTTTTTAGGTGGCAACACTAGAATCATGAAGCTCTCACAAGACTGTAATTTATTTTCACAGGAAAAAGCATTTATATTTTACAGCAGAAAATGTCTGTCATATCTAGAAGTAAATGTGTAAAACGTGATGAACTACTTTCTCCTGAAAACATTTTTTCATGAGAAAGACAGTAAGAGAAAAGTGCTTTTAGGTCCTTACTCTATATATTCAGATTCAAGAACTCTAGGGAAATACTATCACTATAAAAAAAAAAATCTTTTTCTACAGCATTAACAAGGATTTCACCTTTACTTAAGGAATTTATATTTAAATAACCAAGAAGGATGTGTTACCTGCAAATAAGTCTCTATGGCTTGGAATTTTTTTTTTGAAATTTGTGTAAATTATTTTTAAGTGAAGCCCAATGAGCCTCTTCTTCTTTAAGTGAAACCATTATTTTCTTCTCTGCTTCATCCCCCTCCACCCACTCCCTTCACACTCTTCTTTCTAGCAAAGAGATTATAGCTATGAAACAACAAAGAGAAGTATTACCAAAAGCTGCAATGTCTTGGCCTACAATCTGCCTGCTCAAAAAGCGCAAGAATTTAAGTGGCTATTCAAGAGCTGGTCACAAACTCAGCCAATCAGTAGCCAGCATTCTGATTCCTGCCCAGCAACAGGAAACAGACAATAAGGTCAGAAAAACATAGTTAAAACCTGGATTCACAACACTTCAGTGAGGTTCTTTGTC